GGGTGGTCTTTGACATTTGCTTGCTGAATTAGAAATCAAACTTGGATATGAGCGGTAAAGGGAATCTGGCTTCATTTTTTTTTCCAATATTTGGAATATGAAAGCACATTGTACTTCATGTAAAAAGTTTTCTCCTGTTCTGCTCTCTAGTGGATGTAAAAGTATTTCTTAAATGTTTTTGTGTGTATGTGTGTGTATTTCCACATTAATGAGTTAAGCTGATTCAGCAGACATATAAATCAGAAATTTCATATATTCCTTAGATCACACATTTTAGAGAGAAACCTGGTAAATGTTTTTATGATGCTTTATTTTGGCTTTTCCAAACCGAACAGTTCAATGTAGCTATAATGCTACAGCAGTCAAGTGCTTATGTTCTAATTGCCTTGTAAAATGCATTGTTACTGGTTTAATAGCCCACTAATGCCATGGGGGCTACACAAAGTATGCCATGGAGCCTATCTTGGTTTGAAGTTTTAGGAAATGCGACAGTGTTATGGGAAAGAAGAGGGTGGCTGCCTGCCTGCCTGTATTGGCAGCATGTCCTTAGGCGACCCTGTTGTTTTGAAAAGGAGGAACACTTGCGGATCACGGTTGCAGACCCTTGGCCGATTAATATTTATTGTGCTGAAAATCACAGACTGCTCAATGACAGTCACCACCAACGAGAGAGGAAAATGGTCTAGTCTGCCTTTTCCCTGCTTGTGTGCATACTTTAAGGTTAGGTTTCTATCCCTATTGTGCATCCTGGCTGACACTCTTTCCGTGGTATGCTTTGAGCTTCTGGAACATTCTATAAAACAATTGCCTTCTCTAGCTGCCCACCAGTTCTAGGATCTTTAACCACCTCAGACCAAAACAATGTGAATTAGCCAAGTTTTATTTTAGAAGAGGTTTAGGATGTTTGGTTGGTCTTTAAGCAGAGCCTGTCCGTCCCCTTACAATTATTATGATCTGGGACCAAAGAACCCTAAAGCAGTAGGAGGGTGAGGGGACATATGGAGTCTCAGCCTCTCCTCACCTTTATTTCCATCATAAATTTTAATTGTAAGATTGAAAGACACAAAAGACTGTGAAAGACCGTGTCAATCGTGTATAATTAACCAGGTAATAAAGTTGGGCTGTATTTGCTATACCCAGGTGCCCTGACTTACCATCTTGGTTCTCTAGCAAACACATGCTTCTCTAAGCTTGCCTTTTCACTTGGGACCTTCTTCCTGCCAGACACTACCGTTTGAGACAAGTGAATTTTCTGCATGAAGGGCTTCTGCACTTCCCTCCTCAGGCAAGTCTCCCTATTTTGTCCATTTTTATTCTTAGGCACATCAGTTGTACATTTCTGAAGCCTTTGGTCCTTAGGAAAGTTCATAAAAATCTCTCAGCTAAGTCTAAGCGAATCTTTGGAGCCCAAGAGAGTTACACTCAATTTTCAGTGGAAAAACATGTGTTGGACAAGCTCACATGGGGGATGTTAAGAGAAATTCCATAGTGCACTTCTTCCATCCCTGCTGCGTGTGCTTTCTGAGTAAGCCCCTGGTAGGGTTCGATTCCCAGGTGCTGAGGATTAGTGCTTGCCCAGCCATGGTAGTTCACTGCCCTTTAGGAAAAAGAAGCATGAGCGACCAGAATTGTATCAATTGACCCTGTGTATTTTCTCTATTTTTCAGTGTCTTGTTTTGAAGAATTGGGGTGGGGAAATGGTAGGTGAGATTCAAAGTAAAGGAGGAAATCAGTTCTGGAATGTGGGGTACTTTGCTTCAGGTGCAAGCATCTGTCCTGAATATGTACAAACACCTGCTTCACATGTGAGTAGATTTACTTTCCTCTCCATCTAATGAACTCCAGGCCCTTTTTCCTTCTGCTTCCCACATACACCTAACCAGAGTCATCCAGTGGGGATTGGCACCACTGAAAGAAACCCAGGGCTTCCCAGCTGCTCTGGGCACGGTGTTCGCCAGGGCAAGAGCAGGTAGGCAATGCGAATCCCCACCCAGGAAGAGGTGGGAGGGAAGAGGTGTCCAGACACATACCTTTTCTCTCCTGCCATACTCCAGGAACCCAGGGGAATCTTTGAAGTGATGTCTTTTATATTAAAGTGGAAGAAGAAGTTTGCCCCACTAAATTTCGCTTGTCATTGTCTCTTACTACTGTTTCTTATTCAGATCCGTACCACACTGCTGTTCCACACGTGTATGTGGTTCTTATCTTAGCCTAACTCTTCCCAAGCACCAGAAGTCATTATTCTGTTTTTGTTTTTTTATGGCACTAGTGAATGAGAACCTAAAGTCTTAGAAAATCCTAACTTGAAAAGGAGTCTCTAATCGGCACGGTTTGATTATTTTACCTTTTCCCCCCTAAAGACTTGAATGATTTTCTTTCCTAGTGCTGTGTGATAGATCTGTAATAAGTGAAACCTTTGCTGCTATTTTCCTGGGTTTACAACAGTTTTCTTCTTCCCTTAAGAATAATTTATCTGTGTTTCTCTGATGACTGTTAATTTCTAACAAGTGCAGGAGAGGTGAGCCTGACATTTCTTCTCTTACTCCTCGCCTCCCCCTCCCCCAAGTTACACACTAACCTCTACAACCTCTGTGGGATGGGGTGCCTCTCTTGGAGCTGGCCCCTGAGGCTCTGTGGCTGCCAGCACTGAGGGTTACTTCTTAATTTTGCCTTTCTCCATTCCTGTTTTATGACTCAACTTTCAAATGTCTCCCACTCTGGCCGCCTCCTTTTTCCTCCCAGGAATCATTTCCAAGTAACCTGCCTTGGGCATTTCCCAACTGCTCTCCTCACCTTTGCCCACCTTCCAGTGACCCTGAGAGCACAGACCTGAGAAATTCGGCCTGTGCAGAGCTCAGAGAACTGTGAGGACTACCCCTGCCCGTCAGACTCTGCCTGGGGACAGAGATGGATGGGTAAATGGTGCTGTGGGAGAAATTTTTATCTTCAAGCCAGGCTCTTTCGCCCCTGTACCCGGTGGCCCCCTCCTGTTCCCAGCCTTTGAGGGGGTAAAATGCAGAGGATGGTTGACTGGCAGGGTCTGGTACCAAACATCATTATCTGGCCTGCCTAAGCCTCCCCCAGCCTCTGGCCTGCCCTGGAGTGCTTCAGTGTGTGGGAGCTGCTGCTTACTGCTTCTCCACTAGGCCTGCCCAGCGCTTTGCCAGTCCCTGGCATCGACAGCTCCCCACATGGTGACCCGACGCCAGGTTCCATTCGCTGTCCAAGTGACTGTTTCCACTACTACTTTTGGCGCTTGAGATTGCGGGGGAGGGAGGGTTATTTAAAATAAATAAAAGCCAAGGTGGCAGTAGAGGATTCCTTCTGCTTTAAAATCTTTGGACTAAAAAGAAATGTTTTTTATATATAAATATATAAAGTAAATTGTTATGTAACTATTCTTGTTTCCTGTATGTTCTAATTTTGTTTTATGATGTAATTAAAGGAAATAAGCTGTGAAGACTTTTCATTTTGCTGCGGAAATAGCCTGACTTGGAGCTGTGATTCTCTACTTTCTTGAACCCGAGAGCTGCACAGGCTCCCGAGGCTCAGTGAAGGGGCTTCTTTTTGGCACCCTTATATTTTTTAATAGAATTTAACTAATAACCTTTAGTTAATAAATTTTTAGTAGCCTTTCTTTAATGCACAGCTCTACTTGTCTAAGAAAAAGAGAAGACATAATATAAATCAGGATTTCTAAAATTCTTGTCTTAATTTGATATAACAATTCATCCTGAGTTCCTTATCTGTGCAGACCATTGCCCTTACCTCGCCTAGGAAGGAGTGAAGATGGTTAAACACAAGCTCCCAAGTCATTGCCTGACCTCCACCCAAATGACCTGAATGACCCGCTGTCTCATCTTGCTTTAGAGCTGTAAAGGTTAAAAGAGGTAATGATGGCACATTGTAAGCACTCACATGTTACCTGCTTTATTCCCTTCATTTCAGCAAATATTTCAGTGTCTGGTCTGTGCTGGAGGCTCCAGTTGAGAGATACACAAAGGTTAATGAAATGGGGCCCCTATCCTTTTGGTGGAGATGAGCAAGGGAGCCAAATCTGCAATCAAAATTTACATCTCAGGGTGTCTATCCTGCCATGAAACGCCCTCAGGGAATCTGTGGATTCATAGACCTCTCTTGAAATCCACTCATTCTGCACGTGGTAAAGGCCTGGTCTGGGTTGGTAATTTGGGTGAGGCCACCGGGGTTACAGGGGTACAAGCAGTTGTCCATGTTGGATCAGCCCTGTATGTTGAGGGAGATACTTTTTAGGTCTTCAAGGATAAACAGACTTCCCCTTCCCCAAGGATATATATATATTTTTTTAATACCCAAGGATATTTTTTCCATTGATTTTTAGGGAGTAGAAGGGAGGGGGAGAGACAGAGAGGGAGAAACATCAGTGTGAGAGAGGCCCATGGATTGGTTCCCTAGCCCACATACCCTGACGGGCTGGAGATCCAGCCTGGAACCAAGGTACATGCCCTTGACTGGAATTGATAGCGCGATCCTTCAGTCTGTGAACCGAAACTCTAACCACCAGCCAGGACCCCCATTCCAGCCAGTGTTCAGAGCCTTCTCCCTTCCTGCCCTCCCTAGCCAGAGGCTACCTGGTTTAAAACTCCCCAAAAATGACCAGTAAATGATTAAAAAGGGGTTAAGCAGAGGGTGCCTTGGCCTGTTTTCCAATCCATGCATATAGGTTTTCTCTCTTCAGTATTTTTTATTTTTTTTTTTGTGATAAAATTTTGAGGGAAGGGAATGAAAAAAATAAGCAGCCCTAACTGGTTTGGCTCAGTGGCTAGAGTGTCAGCCTGCAGACTGAAAGGTCCCAGGTTTGATTCCTGTCAAGGGCATGTACCTTGGTTGCGGGCACATCCCCAGGAGGGGGTGTGCAGGAGGCAGCTGATTGATGTTTCTCTCTCATCGATGTTTCTAACTCTCTATCCCTCTTCCTTCCTCTCTGTAAAAAGTCAATAAAATATATTTTTTTTAAAAGAAAAAGAAAAAAATAAGCAGAATAACATCACGTTTTAAAAAGCACTTAATATAAAATCGGTTTTCTGCATGGAAAAATATACACACAAAAATCAGTTTCCGGTGGATTGACCTAAAAGTGAAATGCAAAAATTTAGACTTTGAAAATGTTTGTTTATATTTATGACCTTAATATAGGGGAAGACCTAAAAATTAAAAGATTAATAAGTTCAACTGCATTTTAAAAATAAGACCCCATGGCCTCAGTGTTTAAGAAGAGTAACAGAATTTCCCAAGTCTCTAGAACTGCAGTTTGAATAAGCACAGCGATTTGATAGTTGAATGGTCTTTCGGAGGCTTTAGTGAATAGTTGTTGCCCTAACTAATTGGAATTAAAAAAAAAAATCCAGCCAGATTTATTTATTCCTATCCCAGACTCTATCCCTTGCCCTAGTCTATAGTTTAGGCAGAAGACAATTCTCGAGAGGACCATATCATCAAGAAAATAGAACAAGCATTAAGTATACCTTTTTAAATTAATTTGCAAAAAAGGAAGGGGTGAGTAGAATTTTAAACACAAATTCACTCGTTCAGCAGCACTGCTTGGTGCAAAAGCTCATCCATATTGCCAGGTTTCTTGCCTCCCAAGGCTTGGCCAGTTTAGCTGATCTTGGGAAGCTGTGTCCCAGGTTCTAATAATTTGCTGCCGAGCAGTAAGAAATGTGAGCCTGGGGGCTGCTTGCTGCCTCCCCAGGGGAGGGATACAGGACGGTTCGGCTCTTCACCTGGAGCCTGGAGAAGCATCGAGGATTTTCTGGAGAACCAGGCTGGCATCAGTTTCCTCTTGCAGCAGGGCGTCCCTGGGCTTAGGTCAGCACCAGGTAGTAGCCATCTGGATTCTGCACTGAAAGCAGTAAAAAGGGCACCACTGGGGTGAGGCTGGCCCCCAGCCACCACTAGGATGCACTCCCAACAATGAACGGCCTGCAGCGCATCTGCCACACCCAGGTGTTCTTCCCCTCACCTCCAATCCACCTTTTTAGGAAGCCTCCCTGTGCACTGGAGCATCACAGGAGGGGCCGGGCAGGCATCCAGATAACCAGGACTACCAGCTGACTGGTCAGCAAGCACCTGCCCTTCCGTTTGATTGTTGCAGTTTGTGGGGTTTGGGGAAGGGGGCGGGGGGGCTTACCTTCCATGGTAATACACTTACGAGAATGCATTTATTCAGTCACGTATTTCCTGAGCAATAAATAGCTGTCTTTTTGCTATACGATCTCTGTCTCTGACACAGCTGTTGTCTCCCTCTAAAACTCCTACCTTTTTTCACCACGGCCACAAAGTACGATTCATCCTTAAGATTCTGAACCACCTGCAAGGGAGAAGGGGTCACTAAGACAATTCCGTTCTTACAGCCCAACAGAATAAGCCAGGGTAGGCAGGGAGAGGGAAAGGAGTGACCAGGCCTTCGTGGAGCCTTATAGGGAGCCACCGCCCCTTACCTGGTCGCTGAGGAGAATGAGGATACCCCCAGGGCCCTGGTGGAAGAGGCGGTGGATCTGACTGGCTGGGAGGTTCAAGAGCTCTGCCAGTTTTCCCATCAGTTCAATGGCGCTGAGTTCATCCAGAGAAATCTCTTGATAAAAACCTGGGGTGTGGGCAGCAGGGGGTCAGTGGGGAGAGGGGTCTAGAGGGAGCCCCAGATACCAGGAGGATGAGAGGGCATGGGGACAGCCTCATGGTGGGTGTGAGGGGAGAGAGTAAAGAAAGAAAAAGGCTTATACACCCACTTAGTCGTCACCTACTATTCCTCAACTTTGGGGAGGCCTCAGATTGAGGGGAGCCCCCAGTTGAAAGAGGAGATGGGACATCTACATATGAAGGACCGAAACCCAAGAACAATAACAAGATAATGTTCTAATCCCACATGCTAATAGAATGACAAAATCAGAAGGGGTTAGGGAGAGAGCATGGAGGAATAAACGCAGGGAGACATCCTGGAAGGAGAGGACTAGTCTGGTCATGGAAGGCAGGGGAATGCAAGGAGGGCATGCGGGTCCCAGGAATGGTGGGGCACCACCCTTTCCCCAGGCCAGAAGAGGGTTCATGTGGCCACACCTGCGTTTCTTCTGGAGAGAGGCCAGAACCTCACCTAGTGCCGGGTTCTTAGGAACCTCCTTCTCTTGTCTAGAGGCCTCCTGAGCCACATACAAAGTCAGCCGGTGACGGATGGGCCTGGGCCAGGAAAACAGTCTCAGCCCTTCATATCTGGACCATCAGCTCCCGCTTGGAGCCCCCATCCCTGGGAGAGACCCCGCCCCTCCCAGGTCTCCAGGGAGAGAAATCGCCACGCATTTCTTAAGCATGTAATGAACGCTAGATTCCGGGGGAGAGGAGATAGGAAAATCTAACTGTCCCCAAAAACGGTGATGCAGATGGGATGGTCACAGGAGAGATCACGGGAGCCTAATTTTTTAGCCCAGCCCTGCCAGTCTGTAACCTCAGGCAGATCAGTGTCCTTTTGGGGCCAGTTTCTTCCTTTGTAAAATGAGGGCGGGAAATAAGTGGCCTTCAAGGTGCCTCTTGACTTGGACATTCTGCTAGCTGAATTGGTAGGTGCCACTACAGCGGGCAGGGGACCCTGTTGGCAGTGCCCAGCACCTGGCTCTAAGAGTATTGAAAAGGCGGATCCCGTCGGCAGCCCCGCAGATCTGGATAAGGTCCTGCCGGGTAAGCTTCAGCAGATCGGTGCCTGCAGAGGCAGACAGAGCCAGATTGGGGAAGACGCCTGGGATCAAGGCTGGCAAGGGACACAGTCCAACATGAGTCTACCAATAGCCCTAGTATATCCGGGTAGACTTAGAGCCACACCCCGGCTCTGCCACTTGCTGGCTGTGTGTCCTTCTGCAACGTATTGAACCTCTCTGAGCCCTGTTCTCAAGGGCGAGTGTGTAAATTATATAGGATAATATGAGAGAAAAAAACCTAGCAAGCATGGTGCCTGGCAACTCTTAGTCCTAAAATAAAAGTTAGTTGAAGGGAACACAAAAGCCAGGACAGAGGCAGGCTTCCTGCTGAGAGTCCCAGCCTCACCTGTGAAATTGGCTAGTGTCCGGCAGTAGCTGGAGAACCGGTGGCGATGTAACCACTGCTGCGTCTCCAGGATGGAGGCTCCAGGGTTCAGATCCTGAGGCATGGAGAGGGCAGTCCAGGGAACACCATGAGCCCACGGACTGAGAACAAAGGGGAGGAGAAACAACCTCTGCCCTTGGGGGGCCCAAGTCTGAGAGGGGGTGGGGGCTCATTCTGCTGGTGGGAAGTGCCGGTCCATGCAGGGAAGTTTTGTGATCTAGGGCCATACCACATCTGTCCACCAGGGGGCAGGGCCGCCCTATTCTGGAGCGAGAGATGAGGTTGCTGAGGCTTTGGGAGAGTGGACGGGATGGGGGTGTGGAAAGGGAAGACTCACCTCAGCTGGGCTGCCCCCCAAAGTGTCCAAGATGAATGGTGGTGAGCAGCAGAGCCTGTGGGGGAGCAGAGAGTCAGGGCCTCTTGGGTGCAGTGCAGCCAGTCTCCCACCCTGGGAGGCAGAGCTTGCCAGGTTGTCATCCCAGGTGTTCCCCAGAAGCCGGGCTGAGCCTCCTCCCTGCCTCAGCACACCTCAGTCCCCTCCTCCAGGCCTTGGCTGAGGAGCTCTTCACTCGCGCCCCAAAGGGCTGATGGGAGGTGCGCATCCCCACTCACCGCTCCGGGGACAGGAGTTTGCAGGAGTGGGGGGAGGTCAGAGCCTGAGGGCTGAGAGGCAGGTGGGGCTCTGCACTGGGCTCTGGCCATGGCGAACACTGTGGGCAAACAAACAGTAAGGTCAGCATGGACAGTTGGAGAGCAGTGGCAGCTGTCCCTCACCTCCCTCCAACTGCCTATTAAGAGTTGACAAGCCAAAACCGGTTTGGCTCAGTGGATACAGCGTCGGCCTGCGGACTGAAAGCTCCCAGGTTCGATTCTGGTCAGGGGCATGTACCTGGGTTGCGAGCACATCCCCAGTGGGAGATGTGCAGGAGGCAGCTGATTGATGTTTCTCTCTCATCGATGTTTCTAACTTGGGCTGAGCCTCCTCTCCCTGCCTCAGCACACCTCAGTCCCCTCCTCCAGGCCTTGGCTGAGGAGCTCTTCACTCGCGCCCCAAAGGGCTGATGGGAGGTGCGCATCCCCACTCACCGCTCCGGGGACAGGAGTTTGCAGGAGTGGGGGGAGGTCAGAGCCTGAGGGCTGAGAGGCAGGTGGGGCTCTGCACTGGGCTCTGGCCATGGCGAACACTGTGGGCAAACAAACAGTAAGGTCAGCATGGACAGTTGGAGAGCAGTGGCAGCTGTCCCTCACCTCCCTCCAACTGCCTATTAAGAGTTGACAAGCCAAAACCGGTTTGGCTCAGTGGATACAGCGTCGGCCTGCGGACTGAAAGCTCCCAGGTTCGATTCTGGTCAGGGGCATGTACCTGGGTTGCGAGCACATCCCCAGTGGGAGATGTGCAGGAGGCAGCTGATTGATGTTTCTCTCTCATCGATGTTTCTAACTCTCTATCTCTCTCCCTTCCTCTCTGTGAAAAATCAATAAAATATATTTAAAAAAAAAAAAAAAAGAGTTGACAAGGGCCCGGCCAGTGTGGCTCAGTGGTTGAGTGTCGACCCATGCACCAGGAGGTCGCCAGTTCCGCCATTCTGGTCAGGGATCAGGGCACATGCCTGGGAGGGCTGTGCAGGAAACATCTCTCCCTCTCCTTCCTCTCTCTCTAATATCAATAAAAACACTTTTTTAAAATGTTGGCATCTACAAAATTAGCTGACAAGCAGATCTAGTTTCCACACTAAGCAAGAGAGCAAACTAGCCTGCAGGGCTGCCTGGGGAGGTTGGGCAGGCTTCTGGCGGAGCTGGCAGAAGCAGCAGCAGGGAAGCAGCTGCTCTGGGCAGAGGGAGCAGCAGTGAGGTGGCAGCGATGGCAGGCGCAGGAGAGGCGGCCTGGAAGGTGGCCGCTCCAGGGAGTCTTGAAGTTGGTCTTTGCAGGAAACGGGTGGAATCCCGGGGGGCTGTGATCGTCCTGAAGCAGGCACAGCCCTTGAGTCCTCAGTTTCCCAGGTGTAAATGAGGACCTTTTCTCCAACCCTGCCCCCCCCCAACACGCACCTCCACGAAGACCGTGCTCTCACAGGCAGCCTGATACTTGTCTCTCTCGTGCAGGGGCTGTTTCTCAACCTTCTCCCGGTCGGTTTTCAGTTTCCGGTCAGCTCCTTTGGGCTACAGGAGGGAGACATGGAAATCTCAGAGGCCCCTCCTCACCTGCACACTTCTCTTCACAGAAGGGCTCTAAGAAAGACATCCTGCCCCATCCCTCTGTGCACAGAGAAGGAAAGAGACCCAGAGCGGGGACCGCAGGCTGAGGATCCACAGCAAAGCAGGGCCAGAATCCACACAGCCAGTGAGGCAGGGTGACAAGCCCTGAGAGGGAGGGGAAGGGGCCCGGTGCTGCCTGCACCTTGAACACCTTGATGAGGCAGCCGGCCGAATGTAGGTGTTCAGGTGGAAGCCCCTTGTCACTGGGCTTGAAAGTGTCAATCTGGAGGCGGAAGGGGACGCCTTTCTCTCCACCCTTTTTCCGAGGAGTGAACTCAGTGCTGATGCAGTGAACCTGAGGCGGAGAAGAAGCAAAGAGGAAGCAGCGTGACTCCCGGCCCCACCTACCTTCCAGGGGGATTGCACCTAAAACCTGCGGCCTGCCTGTCACCTGTCAGCAGCGTCTATTCTTCAAGTGTAACTTTATTAGGTTCTTTCCCTATGTTGTACTTTACTTCCCCATGATATATAGGACATTTTAATTAGCATTTTATGAGGTTGACCTGTCTACATTTAGTATCCTTATAAATTGTCTACTTATATCCTTTGCCTGTTTTCTGTTGGTCTCTCTTCTATTTTTTCTTATTGATATACTAGAAGCCCAGTGCACAACATTCGTGTACTGGGGGGAGGGGGGGCTCCTCAGCTTGGCCTCCCCCACGGCCTCTGCGCTCGCCAGCCATCAGCCTGGCTTGTGGCTGAGCGGCACTCCCCCTGGTGGTCAGTGCACATCATGGCGACCGGTCATTCTGCCATTTGGTCGATTTGCATATTACCCTTTTATTATATAGGATGATAACTTTTTATTATTAAGGCTATAACACACTAGCAACTATTTTTCCCATTTGGGGTCTCCTTTTAATTTTGCCTAGGTATTGCAGACCATGACTTTCTTAGAAGCTAAATCCTGTGTTTTGTAGTTTCTTCCATTGCTTTAATGTTTAACTAGTCCTTCCCTATAGTGAGAGTCCATAAACCTTTATCCATATTTTTCCCCCAAGGTGTTTTCTGGAAGTGATTGATTTTTACTGTCCCCTTACCCCCACCTAAACTCACCTTCCTTTCCCGGCTTCAGGCTCACCTGCAGGAAGAGAGAGGTCCTCTTGGTTGGGTCCCAGTGAAACTCCACTGTGTTGAGCTGTGAGGGCAGCACCTGGGGTTCTATCACCCCCACGGACAATGGCACATCTGCAGACACAGAGTAGCAAGCAGGAAGCAAGGCTCAGCCCTCCCCACCTGTAAGGGCTTTCAAGACAGATGGTGGCCCTAAAGGGTCCCTCCCCATTCACCGATGTCCAGGATGCGGTCCCCAGGCCGGCTCCATCTCCACCCATCCAGCTGCTGCTGCTCCGTGTACTGCAGGCGCCGGTCATGGAACACCACACGCACCACACTCTGTGGGCACAGGAAGGTGGCGCTCGTAGGCATTTGGGAACCAGTTCCCATACCTGGGGTAGGCCAACCCTCCCACCCTCTCCCCACCTTGCTTCCCACTCCCAGGAAACATGGGACTTAGAATCACTAGATCTGTGTCCAGATGCCCACCTGCCATTCTGTGAAACTGGGGGGTAATTTAGAGACCCTGAGCCTCAGTCTCCTCATCTGTAAAATAAGGAAGTTAATCCCTCCCCACTCTTAATCACTCTACCGGGCTCTTTTCTACATGTTTTCTAACGATAAGCAAAAGTTTACGTAGAAGATCACAGAGGTAGAAAGAAGCAAACCAGCTGGGCGGTGTGGGCTCAGGAAACAAGTTATGGAGGCAAAAGAGGGGCCCTTGGAGCTTAGGAGAGAAAGGCAACGGTAGCTGGCCTGTGCGGGAAGAAGAGGGGAGGAGAAAGGCAGGCGCGCTCTAGAAAGCGGGGGGGGGGGGGGGGGGGGGGGGGTGCTAGCAGTCTTTTCTTTGCAGCACTTATCATTTTGCAATTTGTAAATCAACTTGTAATTGCATATAATTTGTGTAATTACAAGTTTGTCTCACTCAGTAGAATGCAAGCCCCCTGAGGAAAGGAATTACATCTGTCTCTTTACTGCTGAATCTCTAGCTCAGAGAATAGTTTCTGGGAATAAATGGGAGCTTAATGAATAATTTTTTAAAATCCTCACCCAAGGACATGTTCCCTTCTTTTTTTTATTTGAGAGAGAGAGAGATATGAGATGAGAGAGAAACATCGATCCATTACCTCTGGTATATGCCCAGAATGGGGATGGAACCCGAAACCTAGGCATGTGCCCTGACCAGAGTTGAACCTGCAACCTTTGGGTGCAAGGGACAATGCTCCAATCAAATAAGCCACCCGGCCAGGGCTAAATGGATAATTTTTTGAGAGAAGTAATTATGTGTGTGAATAACACATATTTCCCCCCCCCTTTTTTTTTCTTTTTTAATTCTCACCTGAGGCTATTTTTTCCATTGATTTTTAGAGAGAGTGTAAGAGAGAAGGAAACACAGAGAGAAATATCAATGTGAGAGAAACACATCGATTGGTTGCCTCCTGCATGAACCCCGACCAAGGCCCGGGCCGGGGAGAAGCCTGCAACCAAGGTACGTGCCCTTGACTGGAATCAAACCCGGAACCCTTTGGTCTGCAGGCTGACGCTCTATCCACTGAGCCAAACCGGCTAGGGCTGTAATATACTAGTATTTCTATATCCCGGTTCTGCTACTTACTGGCTCTGTTTCATGGAAAAACACTTAACCTCTCTGTGCCTCTTGCCTGCACAATTCCTGCCCACGCTGTGAAGGTCAACTTAAAAGGTGGACCTGAGAGGGTTCTACCCGACAGTGACATCACAGGGGTGGCACTGGCTTCCTGCCCCGTGGGACAGTCAGACTCAGCCTTTGCCCGACCTGGGAGGGGATGCACCTACCTTCAGCATCCGCGGCCACTGGGTGGCGTCACCCAGCTTGGAGTTGCAGAGCATCTGCACCTCATAGGACTGGCCTGGGAGAGATTCGGGGACGTGTGAGCCCCACTCTGAGGGGCAGAGGTGGTGCCTGCCTCCCCAGCCCACCCTGGCACAACCTCCAGAGCTTGCTGCCCCCACTCACCCCTTTCCTTCCCAGGCCCAGCGTACCCTGGTTCAGGTAGGTCAGGGCCTCCTCCTGCTGCTTCACGGCGGGTGAGGTGGCAGCACAGAGCACGTACTGGAATGAGGGGCAGGGAGGCTCCATACTGGGGATGTTGGGCAGCTCCTCCTGCTTCAGGTAGGGCAAGGGCAGGGACTCCCTGCAGGGAGAGGAGGCCCTGCCAGCTTTCTGCCCTGTCCACCCCACCCCCTATGGGGCGTTGACTCTCTCTGCCAGGTTCTAGCTCCTGGGAGCCTCCAGTTTCCTGTAGCAGGCACCCCAGCAGCAGCCAGGGCCAAAGGGGCCCCCATTCAACTCCTTTGGCCTCTGGGAGACCTCCGTTAAGATGCAAATCCCAGATACTACCAAGCATCGACAAACATCTGGCATCAATTGCTTGTGTGCAACCTCAGGGCTTGCCTGATACCAAGTCAATGCCCCACCAAAGTGTCCTGTGTAAGTGGTGCTCAGGGTGTTGTGAGATGTCCCAGGACCCACTAAACCCAGGTACATTTGACCACATCCCCACCCCCAAAGCGACCCAAGAGCAGGAAGCCCATCCCCCTCTACTTGAAACAGAGGCCCTACATGTCCACCACAGCTCGCACCAGGGCCTTCCTTGGGGGCCGAGGGAAGGGGCTCTGGCCCTTACCTGAGCAAGCTGCTTGGCGGCCCGGGGTACAATTCCCCGGGACTGGGCCACAGGTGCTCCAGCTGGTTGTGCCAAAACAGCATCTTGGAAAGGGGGCGGCCAGGTGTGTGACAGAGAGAGGTCAGCACTGGGTGGGGCTGGACCCACTGGGCCTCCACCGGGAGCCTCAGCCTCTCTTTATAGAAGCAAACCCACTAAAGGGTGGGGTCAGGCCTGGGGCCTCTGATTGGCTGAGCACCCAGGGCTCTAGGAAACTCTGGACCTATTAGGCAGCTTAAGCGGGGAGGAGGGGGTGGGGGAATGGTGTCCCCAGGGCTCCCTACCAATCATTAACTTGAAGGGGAGATGGTGGTACAGCAAAACAAAGTCACAGGGATGCACATCCACTCCCCCATCACTCCCCAAGAGGCCCAGGGACAAGGAGGGGACACCCTTAGGCTTCAAGATTGGCCCCAGATCCATGAGCCGCGTAGAATCCCAGAGACTCATAGGCTAGGACCCCTCACATGACCCCATGGGAGGAACCTGACCCCTCCCAGGGGACAGGACAAGCAGGCGTGCTGCATCACATGCACCTACAAAGGGTCTTTGCTCCCTGCTGGCCTCCCACCCTCCTCTTCCCCGACCCCAACACACAGGTGCGGTGATGGCCAGACACCTGTGCTTTTGCTGGGCTGCCTGGCTAGGGGGCTGGAGTTTACAGAACATAGTCCAGCTTGCTGTGGAAACAACTGGGGGGGGCGGGGGGGGTTGGTGCTGGCAGGGAGAGCCTGCCTGTGGGGAGGAGCGGTGTGTCTGGGGGTGACCCCTCCCAGGGCAGTAGAAGGAGAGGAGTTCCAGTGGGGTTGGTTTCTTTGCCCCTCCTCTGCCCTGGGGTACGGGGTGGACTGTGTTTATGGACAAATACAGTCTGCCTTGGGGAGGGCTTCCTTCCCCACGCTCAGCCCCTGTTGTCACTGTACACAGACAGCCCCAGGCCCCTGTGTCCAACCCCCAACTACTGTTTGGTGTAAACAGACAAGGGCCGTGCAGAGAGCAGAGAGACAGGCCTCTCAACACATCGCCTGAGCTCATGTGACCTTAGCTATCCAGGCTTGGTGACTCTGCAGGGCCTGCCTGGGGACAGGGAAAGCCAAAGGGTCCCCACTCAGGGCACCTCCATCTCCAGGTGCCTGGCCCTTGGTCCTGAACCTGCTTTTCTTTTCCATAAACCCAGACAAAATGGAAGAGGGGAGAAGGGATGGGAACATGCCTGCCAGGGGGGCCAAAGGAGCCCAAGTACCCAAGATCCCCTGATAAGAACCCCAAGACTTGGAGAGCCCACCCATTGCCCAAAGGTGGAGTCCAGGCAAGGAGGCCCCCATGGAGCCCTCCAAGGTTGGACAGAGCAGGATCCCAGGAAGGGAGGGGAGGGGAGGGGTCCTGGCCACCTTGGTCCTGGCCTGGGGGGAGCAGGGTGTGGGGCAGAGGAGGCAAGCAGGCAGATGGGGGTAGAAAAGGTGGGGCTGGTATGGGCCCCCTTTGAGGACAATCCCCAGAGCAGGTCCTGGGAGTGGGACTCCAACTCCAGCACCCGATTCCCTGCCCTCTCACCACCCTCCACCTGCTTGCACCCTCCCCCCTCGCCCCTGAGTTCAGCTCTCCCATACTGGCTGCTAGTCCTTCCTCCCACCCCTCTGCACTCTGTCCCACTCAGATGTTGCTGGGCCTGTTCCTGGTTTTCCATGGCTCTCTCCTCTCTCCTCTCTCCTCTCTCCTCTCTCCTTCTCTCTCTCTCTCTCTCTCTCTCTCTCTCTCTCCTCAGCTGGGCTTGAGGCAGTGGCTGGAACCTAGCTACTTGCAGCCCCCCAACCCCACCCTACTCTTTCGCTGTGCCCCCTGGGCCAACACAGAACAGAGTTTGAACAGCTCATCCTCAAGCCCAGAGAGGCCTTGGGACACTTCTGGTGCGGACCCCGCACTCTCAGAGGATTCTCAGGCCCTGGGGGTGGGGGGGTGAGGCCCCCACAAGGCAGGGGCATGGCGCAGACTCCCCTCTTTACCTTCTGAATGGGAGCAAGGCCTCCCTCCCACCTGGCGTGGCAGTGAGATTAATGGTCGGCACTGCATCTTTGTCCAGGGTTGAATTCCCAAGAGCTCCCCTTGGGGTATCGGGGGGCACCAGCAAGGTCCCCAGGGTCACAGTCCTGGGGGTATAGACGTGACTGTCCCAGAAACTTCCCCACACACAGATAATTTCAGGGACAGCTTTTTGGGTACATTTTTTTAAAATGGATTTTTCCCCACCCAAAATGTTCTATCATTTTCTAGGCCATGGCATAAACCGATCCTAATAATACCCTTTTGGGCTTCTTAAGCCAAGGAAGTAACTTTTTATCTGTAAAAAAAAATGCTGAGAAATAACAATTCAATGTCCTTTTTCTCCTCTAACCAAAATGTCTTGTTTGGTTTTGCTTTCTATCCCGAGGCAACATTCGAACCTGGAGAGTGGGAGAGTTGAAGGGTGAGGTCTACCCCTCCCTCAAAGAAAGAGGGGCTGAGAGGAGAAGGATCACTCATTCATTCATTCATTCATTCATGCATTCAACAAAATGCTATGAAGTGCCTACTATGTACCAGGCTCTCTCCCTCTCTCTCTCTCTCTCTCTCTCTCTCTCTCTCTCTCTCTGTAGAATCCTGTCCATCCAGGGCAGAAGGCCTGGGCCCTGAGTTCCAGGCGAAATTATTTTACAAAGAAAGGGATGAGAGCATGATTCTTTAGACATCTCAGGCACAGGCACACAGGAGCGCGCACACACAGAGGAAGCTGACAATCCCATATGGCAACCCCTGTGTGGTCGGTGTGTCTGTGCACACAAATTCCCCTCCCCCAAGAGGCAGTCCCTCCTCCAGCAAAATGCCTCTGAGCATTTTGGGTGCACAGCTCCAAAGGGCACCCCACTGAACAGTGCCCCCTGGGGTTGGACAACGCATAGGCCTGGCTCTAAGCCCCCAATCTTTTATATATATATATATATTTTTATTGATTTCAGAGAGGAAGGGAGAGGGAGAGAGAGATAGAAACATCAATGATGAGAGAGA